GATGACCCCCTGTGGGCCCGCTGGTCACAGGTTGTCCACTGACACTCGCACGTACATTGACTCGCTGCTGTTTCCTGACAAGTATTCCTGATCCATTGTAGTGCCTTTCCCTGTCTCCTGCTTGGTCGTGTGTGGCGTTGGCGTGTGTGTGTGTGTGTGTGGTGTGGGTGTGTGTGGGTTGTGTGTGCTGTGTGAGTGTGTGTGTGTGTAAGTTTGTGCATCATTGAGTGCATGACATGCGAGTGTGATACTCGCCTAATGTAGTTGCATGGGTCGAGAGACTGCTCCTGGCCCGCTCTTCACTGAATGTTTAGTCCCCTCTCTCCTGCTCATGCGCTTTATCATACCTTATCTTAAAGCTATGTATGGATTGCTCATTACACACTAGCTAGCCTCTTCCATTCTGGCTACTCTATACAGAAAGAAATACATCGACCATCTGCGGTCTCATCTGAGATCTTCACTTCCAAGTGTGGGACCTTTTGTTCTGTGTCCTCTCTCTGGACATCCTGTGACCCCTTGGGGGGGGGACTATTCCATGCAGTATTTTGTATGACGTTATCATGTCTCCCTACCCTCCTGTCCTCCCAGTGTGTCAGGCGATTTCCTCAACCATTCTTCGTCGGACATTCCCTTGCTCTGCAACTAACCTTGTCACAAACTTTCGCACTTTCTCTAATTTCTTGACGTGTTGATCAAGTTGTGGGGTTCCAAATGGTGTGCATACTCCAGTATGGGCCTTACGTAACGGTGTACAGTAGCGAACGCTATTTCATGTTTGCCAGGCGACCATATGCTTGCAGCAGATCTGGTTGATGCGTACTTCCGGAGATGTGCTATGTGTGATACTCGCCCAAGATCTTTCTCCTTGAGCGAGGTTTGCAGTTTTGGCCACCTAGCCTATACTTGTATGCTGTCTTTTTTGCCCCTTCCCGATCTTCATGACTTTGCATTTGGGTGGGGTTAAATTCGAGAAGCCAGATGCTGAATAGGTGTCCGCATGCCTGTCTCTCTGTAGTTCTGCCTGAACCTCATCTGATTTAATTCTCAATAACTCACACCATCTGCGAACAGGGATACTTCCGAGTCTATCCTTCCATCATGTCAAAATATATACCAAAATAGACTGGTTCAGGACCGACCCCTGTGGGGACCCCGCTCGTCAAAGGTGTCAGTGTTGATTACCTCATCACGTACCATGATCCGTTGTTTCCTCCCTGCCGGTATTCTCTGATCCTTGCAGTCCCTTCCTGTTATAACGCTGCTAATCTAGCTTCTGCACTAACCTCTTGTGAGGGGAATGTGCCGAGGCCTTCTTGCAGTCAAGAAAATGCAAATCAACCACCCCTCTATCGTGTTTACTTCCGTTACTTTATCACAAAACTCCAGAAGGTTTGGGACAAAGGAATATAAACATTCCATGAATTTCGTGCTGGATTGGCGTTGATCTCATGTTCCGTTCCAGGAGTGTCTCACCAATCTCCTCCTGATAATCTTTCCCAGGACTTTGCATACTATACACGTCAGTGATAACTGGTCTATTGTTTAGTGCCTCTGTTCTGTCTCCTTTTTTTTTAAAAAACGGGAAAATTACATTTGCAGTTCTTGCATACTCAGGTAGTTGCCCCAGTTTCAAAGGATGTGAAGATTGTGGTTCATCGGCACACAAAGGTTTCTGCTTTCTCTAAGGACCCACGGGGAGATTTGTCCTGTCCCTTGCTGAGGCATAGGTCACTTAGCTTCTTCCCACCACCACCTCAGTTGTGTGCACGTATCCAATACTTGTTTGTCTATTTTTGTTGGTGTCCCCTTTGTTCTGTCTTCCAGATGATTCCCTGTCTCCACTGGTTTTAAAAAAAAAATTTTATTTTTGTAAAACTTTCTTTAAATCTCGTGTTAAGCTCTCACATACTTCTTGATGTTTATTGTGAGTCCTCACCTTTTTCCTCAGCTGATTCACTGGTCCTTTGATGTTGTCTTCTCCTAATGTGGCTTACAGCAGTTTCGGGTCAGACTTTACTTTCGATGCTACATCGTTTTCGTACCGTCACTGGTCCTCCACTTATCTGTGCATACTGTCTTGGCTCTTCGACTAATCATTTTCCTGGGTCCTTTCCTCCTTTACCTTTCCCGTCTCTGATTTTTAAGAGCACTTAGTTTTTGCCCTCATACACTTTCAGGTAAACAAGGACTCGCTTTGGTTTCCATTATTTCTGTTGCCTTGTGAGCATTTTGTTATTTGCATATCCATATTTCGTTTTGTGACGTTCGCTACCAGCTCTCTTCCATTGAACCTCTGCAGGAAAGTTCCTCATACTGTGTAGTCCCCCTCTTTTATAGTTTGGCTTTTCCATTTAGCTTCTGATACCTCTCCACTTGCACTCTATAGATTAATCAAAACTCAGAACCAAGTGATCGCTAGCTTCAAGGGGGCCTCTCTCTCATATATGATGCCATCTATGTCTGAATGCTCAGGGTGAACACAAGGTCAGTTTGCTGGTTCATTCTTCCCTCTATCTCTCTAGTAGTGTCACTGATTATGATGATGCACGCGGTTGTCCTGTACCACATCTAACCATCTTGGCTCTCCATGTTTTCGGGACCCCCAGTGGCTCCAGGTTTTCCTATCGATCTCCTGTGGTTGGAATATCGCCATAACCAGTAACTTAGCTCTGCTCGGTGGAGCTCTTTTACACCTCAGCCGTGTGTCCACCATCGCTCTTTTTCTTCGTATTCCCTCATTTGGACCTCCCTGCAGTTTTGTGTTGGGTTATGCCTCACAGCAATGACTATCTTATGTTCCAGACTGTGAATTTTACCTACTATTAGTCCCTTTCCCCAATTAGTATATTCCTTCCATTTCCTCCAAATCCCCATCGGCTTTTATGAGCCGATGCAACCCTCTCCCCCTTACTCTATCTTTCATCAGGCTATGATATCCCTAGTGGGCAGATGATCTGTTATTGTATTGAGTTTCGAATCTGTGGCTGGCTATGATGTCTGGGGACTTCTCGTTGATCTTTCATGGCCACTCACATTTATTCGTTATTCCATCCCCTTTCGTGTACCAAACCTTCAGGGGGGGCTTTCTATCACTGTGGTCCTGGGAGAATATTGGGGTTGGGGGAGTGGGAGCCCTGGAGGGGGCTATGGGAGGTTGTGGTGTGGGTGGGGTTGGTGAGAGGGGGTGGGTGGCAGAGTGCCATAGGGGGCAGCTTTTCGGGGTGGAGGATTGTGATGGGGGTGGGGGGCGAGGAACAGAGTGGAGGTTTTTGTCTAGATTAGTCGTTGCGTTGGGGT